GATTTTCACTGACTTACTATCAGTCTTGCAAGCAATAGAAAATGACCATCATCTAAACCACCAAGATTTGACACCTATACTCCTATAAATACTGCTTCGCTCTCATCATCTGATAACACCCTGTGGCATCAACCTGGTGATGCAGTGGGTCCCTAGACACTCAAACATACAGTATACAGAGTGGAAATGACCAAGCAGACACCCTTGCTAAAGGTAAGAGGAGTTCTAGACTGGAACAACCCAACATTCCAACTTCATACAACACTGCAAAACAAATCATTTAATAAAGCAGCAACAAACAAGATTGGATGAACAGATGGGCCCCAGGGGAAGACAGGCGGAGCAGTTTTCAAACATATATGATCATATTACCACAACAAAACGAAATGACAACATCAACCACCTACAGAAAAAAACCCAGACCCCAATCTTCCGCCTAAAAACAGAATATTCTGAATATTATGTATAATTATGACTCAACTTCCACTTAAACGGAATAAAATCAGAACTTCTCCTAGTGTTTCCTTTGTGAATATGAGAATCCGACTCAAACAGTGGATCATTGCCTGTTTCACTGCACAGCCCCAAATGACATCAGAGCTAAACGTCTCCCTCCGAAACCTAACTTTGACAACACACTCTATGGAACATTTCAGCAACTGCTGCAAACCTGTACTTGTCACTACAACAGGACATTGGACAGAAGGGCGAGGGCCCGCTGTTGCTGGATCGATAGTCATAACAACCACAAATGATACTCTTCCCATTATATGTGTATCTGTGTACATGTTTTTAAAGTTTATTAGCATTGAAAAGCCCTCAAAATATATTTAATGGACAACAAGTTATTAATTCATAACATTGACTAATGCAGTAAAATACTAATTAGAAGACACACCTATACACTAATAATCAAACGAAGTGGCTAGCCGTACTTAAGTACTCACTTATCGTAATCACTGCCAGTCTAGCCGTACTTAGATCTAGGTTTGGCCCAATCGACTCAAGCCTGTTAAGTGCACAGGTCTCATCAGATCTTGATCTAGTAATTATTCAGGTTCAAATACATGCAAGTCAGTAAGGCACCTTTTGGTTTTGTCTGAAATACAAATACTTTAGACATTGCAAACTAAAAATTTCATTTACAATTCAGCCATCAATATTAAGTACGGCTAGCCTGGCTGTCTACCCGTACTTAAGTACGGACTGCCAGTCTAGCCGTACTTATCTTAGGCCCTATTAACATTAGAAAACAGAAGGTTTAAAATACATGCACTGTCATTAAGGCACCTGGTTTCGTCTCAGATACAAATACTTTAGGTACTGCACACTAAAAATGTATATATTTACAATTCAGTAGGCCTATTTTTTGTAAATGGTCAGTCTAGCCATCATATTAAGAATAAGTACGGCTAGCCTCTTCCATAATCAAAATCAAAATATCAGAATGTAAGCAAGGTCTAATTACTCCAACTAATACATCCTTTAGACTGGTTAAAACTAAAAGTACATCTCAAAACAACTGTAAATCACATGGTATGAGGCTTCGTTTCCTAACACAATGTTACAAAATGTTCATTCATAACATTAATAATGACAATGTATTATATTATGACGAGCATATTTTTGCCTCCTCTTTGCTTTCTTTTGAGTCAACTGCACGCTCTTCTTCCATGTTTATGCAACGATGTAAAATGATAATAATAATAATCATCATCATTGCTTTTATATAGCGCATATCCATGCTCAAGAGCATGCTCTATACACTTTACAACTATTATTACCCCAGCAGACCCTCTGAGAACACTCAGAAACATTCTCGGCTTCCACGGAAGCATACAGTTCTAGCTGCAGATTTCACGCGCTCAAGCACTATCAAACTGACAAGATCGTTCACTGTCTATAGCCGGGTGCCCATTCCCACCTGGGTGAAGTGAGGAAAATTTGTGCCAAGTGCCTTTCCCAAGGACACAACGTCGGGCCCCTGACGGGATTCGAACCCACGACCTTATGGTTGCGAGTCCGAGAGCCTAACCACTAGGCCACTGAAGGTTGTGCAGCGGGAAGTCCCACTCATGATATTTTGTGTAAATCTCATAAAGTGTTCGTTTATCACAAACGTGGATTATCTCAATCAATGTCACATTAAATTTTATTTTTTTAAAAACGACGGAGAGGAAAATTACCCAGCTGATGGATTAATGTCAAACCAATGTCTAATACCGTTCGTTCATTGGGATGGTATAATGTTTTTATTAACGATTTTTGGTTTTCTAGACCTTGGAAAGTCTAATGGTGTAATAGACACATGGCATTATGATAGTGTATAGACTACTAAATATTTTCAATGTTTGAATGCACGCACTTTGGCTTGATAGTTTAGGATTAATAATATTCTATATTTAACAAACAATTACGTGTGCACTCAAGATTAATAGAAATGACCTATTTTTAGTACTATTTCCTTTCTATGATGAATTATAAGGTGCTCACATCAATAAATCTGCTCATGCAGCTTGGCCAACTTATTTCCTTGTCTTAATTATATGCGTTATGCTTCCAGAAGAAAACACGATTTTTCCCTGAGTAGTGGTTGATTAAAAAAGTCCTCATGCAAACTCCTCCACATTTTGGCAGAGGCTCCATCAATGGTATATAAAAGATGCAGTTTGATATGGTTTTTGTAGACAAATCGATATTGTTTTGGTTGGAAATAATATAATCCATTTTAATTGTAAATTAGTACAACTACCATTTTCTTTGGAAATAGTGTATGGATTTTTCTCTGACTTGAAACTTTTCAATTTCGGTCTTTATGCTACAGTGTGTACAAAGCAATGTTGTACAGTCGAACTTGTTCAAAAGGACACTTGTATAAAGCATCGGATTTCCGCTACCGCCATTTCCTCCGCTAAACTCCGCTACCGCGACAGCGGGCCAATCAGAAAGAGAGTTGCTGGGAGCAGAGTGACTGCCGGGCATCGGGAATTGCCCGGGAATTTGGAGAAAAAAAAATCGCCGAGACGCGGGAAAATACTTAAAAGATCTTGAATATTATTTGAAAACCAAATCCGATAACGTCTTTATTAAGTTCACTTTTGCCGGTCGCGTTTGTGATATTAATTCGGCTTTTCCCGGTGTGAGAGTACGTTTCACGCGTACAGGCGGCTATGGCGGCAAGCGGAATTGTAAGTGACACCGAGGCTCGACGGGAAAATCAAGATCTCAGAAATTTGTCTGTTAAGCTTAAAGTCTGATAACGCAATTTTTGTAACATGCAGGTTCTGCATTACAAACGTGCTGTCGCTTGTCGAGGGCAAAAAAAAAAAGAAAGAAAAGAAAGTTATACTAGCGTCTTGTCGGGCTCGTCATTGTGACCGGTCAATGAACCTGCGCGCGTTCTGAGCGCTGTGAAGTACAGGACTCCGGAATGGGGGGAGATTATTTTTTTTTTTTTTAAAGATACGGACGTGGATTTTGGGAGGGGGGACGCAATGCCAGAGGACAAAAAAAAGAAGAAATTAGAAGCAAATGTTTAATATTTAGAATTTTGATTACTACTACAGCTCTCTGCAAAGTAAAGTGCGCATTAGTGCATGCCTTGTGTATAATGGGGATCCGTCATAACTACTTGTAAACGTGTTAATGAACTTAGGGCAGGGGCCTAAGTGTTCGCGTTTCTTTGGAAAGGTGACAGTAAATTATGTCTCTATACTTTAGCTTTTTGTTCAAGATTCGCAGAATTTCAGTGTCACTGCATCTTGCCCTCCCACAGTTCTTACACCTCTCACACTGAATAGGTTTACTTGAGCTATTCAAGTTATTACTCTACTTTGAGTTTGAGCATTAATTTTGTCTTTCACGTTTATTATATCATGAATCATTACGCCCAGACTGGTTCATGACAGTCGATATTCTGGTTCTAGGCCTTTTCTCAGGCTCAAAACATGATTCATTGTTATATAGTTTATATATATGCAGGCGAATATGATGAAGGTAAAATATAAATAAGTCGCACAAGACCACAGTGCGCCTCCACTTTCTGTACGTAATCAAGATTTTAAATATTTGGTAAGTGACTCTTACTTGAAATTATCTTCCAAACCCTCAAACTGGTGATATGGAATAACCTTGCTTTGACAAATTGATGGTTTTTATTTCTACATTCTAGGGTCCAACGATATAATAATAGTTGGTGCCTCGCGAAGATGGGCTTCTGTCGCGATCACGGGGAAAGCTCCTCTTTAAAAAAAATTCGAAGTTGAGACCCATGATAAAGACGGTCACCTGTACAAATGGCGCCTTCCCATTTCCTCACTTACGTCGATTTTATATGTGTGAGGCATCGTGGTCAAATCAGGCTCTCGTCAAAATAAGGAAATCGAAGAAAACGGCATTTTTCTGACAGTTTTTTAAATTTTCTTTTTGTTTGGGCTGAAAATCCTGTTATTTCTATTCAAAAACACATTTCTGTGCGGATTCTACAGAAAAACAGTGATTAAAGACACCAAAAAGAAAGTAAATTTTCATTTTCCAAGGACTCTCAAGCTATGCAAGTTACCAAACTAAGGCAACCATTTTCTGATTAATTTTCCCTCTGAAACCAGGTAACCCTCCCTCCTTCAATCGCAACTATCTCGACTTCTATTCAACATAGATGGAAATTTTTTCCACCAAAAGCAAGACAAATGAACAGGCTTTACGATGATGCCAATAACCCTATTTGCCCAAAATTTGACGAGCGCCTGATTCCACCACGTCGTGCCACATATTATGCTGTGTGTAAGACGGCCACCTGTCTAAGACAGCTATTTTTTTTTTCTTCGATGATGGGTGGCTGTCTTAGACAATTCTGACTGTATTTCATTTTTATTACCGTATATTATATATATATCGTGTATGTCGTTGTATGTCTAGTTTAATGTAATAATGTATAAAAATCTTGTGACTGTTGGGTCTGAAAGGTAAAGTTATTGAAAGTCTTATCACTATAATTTCAGGTGCTCAAATAATCGACTTGATGCTCCTGGTCATTGATGTCACAAAAGGCATGCAGACACAAACGGCTGAGTGCTTGATTATCGGGGAAATCACTTGCCACAAGATGATCGTTGTGTTAAATAAACTGGATATGGTTGCACCAGAAAAGCAGACGGCTACCGTAGAAAAGGTGAGAGTTTACAAGTTGCTAGATTAACCTCTAAATAGTTAGTAACACCTCCTCGCCTCAGAAGTATTTTGTGCAAAGTACCTCTTTACTTAAGTACTCTTTGGACAAAATAGTTCTGAGGCGACGACCTGCCGTCACACATGACACTAACGTAGTCGCAGGGCGCGGATGAAGAAAATGTACTTTTGCTTTAAATTATTTAAGTGCGCGCTCATATGACCCTATGCAGTAGTGAGCGCCATAAAACACGTACAAAAAAAAAGAGAGAATTAAGCCTCTAAACCCTACTGCTCTGTTGAGGAACTCTGAATCTCGGGTAAAAGGGGCATAAGTCCACATAAAACAGGACATCGTTTTTTAACTCTTTGAGGATGGAGCATTCATATATCGTAGGCCCAGAGTATAAGTGTCGTATGTCCACTTTTCATGAAATCTGAGATAAGACCTCTAATGCACTCAAATTCTCACGTTTTGTGTCTCCAATAGGTTTCAAGACTCTAAGAAGCACAGTGTTTGTTGAGATTTCCAGAACCCAGTTGTCGTATGTCCAAAGCGGATTTAAAAAGAAGAGAGTAGATCTACAACTGTCGGAACTCCAGAAGCATTAATTTTGAAACATTTTGTTTTGTCATATCTCCATTTGAGCCAATGGGATGAGAGAGTGCCGTTACTTGATTTTGTGGGCAAAGCAAAATATCGTTCAACGATCAAGAGGCCTTCAAAGTGCATGTTCTTTGAATTTGAATGAGTATTTTGATGAGTGTGTCTGTATGTCCCAAATTCTTTAAATTCTATTTGTCATTGTTTAGCAATCATCTGGTATGCAATTTTAATTGTTTTGTTTGTGTAGTGCCTTCATAGAAATTGTTGGTGCCTCTTCTTTTAACATTAGTTGTGGTTCTGTGCCCGGGATATTTTTTTTTTTTTTTTTTTTTGGGGGGGGGGGGGTCCAAAGCTTTGTTTTTTCTATTTTTGTTTTGTTCTGCTACAGGTTGCTTTTATTTCTACCCTCTCTTTGAGTTGTTTGTTTTGGTAAGTGTTTTTACGGCGCTCGCAACTGCATAAGGTCAAATGAGCGTGCGGGACACACCTAATATTTTCAGTTGGTAGGAAATTTTGGATTTTGCCCGTGTGGCGGCCGAAGCCTACTCTTATCGATTTTAGACCACCAAGGGATCTTTAACGTGCGCAACTTGCACACGGGCCCTCCAAGATTTTTCGGCCTTGTCCGAGAAGGCTAGGTGTAGATCTTTCCTACCTGAAGGTCAGGGGTGTGGCAGAAAGACAGCAGTTAGGAGGAGCCAAGGAGTAGTAGTAGAAAGGCTGCAGAAAGAGTCGGGAGTCCAGAGGAGGGGGCAAAGGAGGTGAGGGGGTGGGGGCAGAAAGTGGAAACGAAAGCAGACAACAGAACATTGCTAGAGAGCAGGAAAGGAGGTGAAAGGAGACGATTTTAGAGAAGAAAATGTTTCGGTCGCTACTCGGATTCGAACCTGGGACCTTTGAATGAGAGGCCAACACCTTAACTCTAGGCCACGAGAGCCCCTTTTGTGAGTTGGGTAAGAATCTCCCCTGGCCCAGGAGACCAAACACTACCGGTTGTGGATGTAAAATCAAAACATAGCTGGAGTTATGCTTTTTATTGTTTCTGTACACCTCCAATTATTGTTGCCTTAAGTCTAATATGAACATGGGTGTTTGGTTGTCACAATTTGCTTAGTCGTGTATCTGAGTTTTTACTTTTCATTGAAACACCTTCGCCTCATTTTAACAAAAGGCACGTTGCTTGATAATAGTAGTAATGTGTATGTGTGTGTGTGTGTGTGTGTGTGTGTGCGCGCGTGCGTGCGTAGGTAGGTAGGTAGGTATATGTGTTAGGTATCTATATATCATGTGACCTTTGTATGAGATATCAAGGATTTAGTAGAGGCTAACAGCTATTAAATCATATTGTTGTCAACTTTGATTCCTTTTTCTAAGTACTATATGAATAACTGTTATATCCTGGCTGGTTATTTCATCAGTGTGCTTTTTTTATTTTTGCAACCAGACAATGTCAGATAAGGTGAATTTCATACCTGCCTTAATTTATATTAATTTTTTTTTTTTGCCAGATGAAGAAACGCATGTGGAAAACTTTGGAGTCCACCAAATTTTCTGGATGCCCTATCATTGCAGTTGCTGCAAAACCTGGTGGACCGGAGGTAAACTGAGTTTGCTTTAGGTTGGATATCCTTAACCCTTTGAAAACTTGCCACCGGTACACTGGTGGTGTGTAAAAACTGTCCGTATGCCTAGCCACCGGTACTCCAGTGAGCAAGACGCCAGCCCCAACACGGCCCGCCTGACACACAAAAGCGCTCTCAGAAAACAGTGTACTACACAAGACGTTATTGGGTTTTTTTTTAAAGATCTGTTTTCTGAATTAGATGCTGGTAATGACATACAATGACTACCCTGAGTGGGATGTGGAATGTGATTCTGACGATCATAATATAAATGTTAGTAATATATCACTCCGGAGCTTAGGCAGAGGGGCACGGTAGCCTCAGGGGGTCAGGGCTCAAAGGGTTGGTGTTATGATCTGATAGTTCATAGTGTCGATGGCTGTTCTTTGTCTGGAGGTTCACAGCTCTTTGGTCAGCAGTCTGCAGCATTTATCTTAGTTCTAGAGTGTAAAAAAAAAAGAGAGATAAAATTTTGAAGCTGATAGTCTTCATCATGGTTCGATTTTTCCAAAAGAGCAGGAGGCTAGTGGCAAAGGTTGCAGATGAGAGAAAGGACCACACTCCATTTATTTGGATGAGGTTTTGAGGAAAGGAAAATTAAATCTGCTTTAACAATTTTTTAGAAAGAGTTTGAGCGTTTTGTAAATTTCAGCTTAGGAAAAGCAAATGTGAGAAGTTTTTTGTTCTGAAAAATCTTTCATTTTTGGCTCTTGTTAGAAAGTCATTACTCTTTTTGGTTAAGTTTCAAATGTTTATATAAATGACGATATTTGAAAGAAAGTCTGATTCCACTGTGTCTTCCTGCTATTTGTGCAGCAATACAACAAAATGAGTATCTTGCCACACTCGGCTGTTTCGAGATATCCGGGCAGAATCTTGATTTTCTTTCAAATTGTGTCTTTCTGACTCTCTAACTTCAAGTAATTCTAACTTTGGAACCGAAGCGGCTAGACTAATACTGTTCACCCCTTTGTAGGGCTTGAATTTATCTTTAATTTGATACTCATGTTGCTATATTGTCAAATCACAACATGCGTCTTATTTTGTCAAAATATTCATGGTGTTATTTTATCAAAATACTCATGGTGTTATTTTGTCAAAATATTCACGTCAAAATACTCTTGTCAAAATACTCATGATGTTATAGTGTCAAAATACTTATGGCGTTATTTTGTCAAAAATACTCATGGTATTATACTGTATTGTCAAAATAGTCATGGTGTTATATTGTCAAACCACGCGACATGTGACTTATTTTATCATGTTGCTCTGCATTTGTTAAATTAATATAAATTTTACTTTATATTGAACTCTAGGCACCAGAGACGGAAGCTACGGGAGTGCAGGAACTCATTTCCACCTTACAGCAGAGCACATACCTTCCGGCAAGGTCTGAAGATGGGGACTTTATATTCTCTGCTGACCACTGCTTCTCTATCAGGGGTCAGGGTACAGTCATGACGGGCACCGTTCTCAGTGGAAAAGTCAGCACGAATGACGTGAGAATAATATTAATAAGACGCCGTTGTTCTTTGTACAGTTGATCAGGTGACATTGTGTCAGTGACAGAACAAAATTTTCCAAAGTCGTTCTTTTTGTAGACTGGTGTTGCCATTTCATTAGTTAGAAGTGAGGAGGTCATGGGAAAGACAGGAATATGGCCACAAACTGAACATTATGAGTGTGTCAATTTTGAACGCTTGTTGACTCATAACTGTATTTCTGTTCACCTGTTCGTTGATTATTGTTGTTAGATTTCCCCTCCAACAAACATAACAGTCAACCGCCAGTCAAACTAATATGAAGTTATGAGTCCACAAGCTTTTAAAATTGATACCCTCACAATTTCCAGTTTTTGACTATGCCTGTTTTTCCCGGGAACTCCTTGAATGTTATCTTCAGTTTTAACATTATATGTTTTTGGTTAAACCTAAAGTGGAGTCTGGGGGCTCTCGTGGCTTAGAGGTTAAGGTGTTGGCCTCTCATTCAAAGGTCCCGGGTTCGAATCCGGGTAGCGACCAAAAAATTTTCTTCTCTTAAATTGTCTCCTTTCACCTCCTTTCCTGCTCTCTAGCAATGCTCTGTTGTCTGCTTTCATTTTCCACTTTCTGTCCCCACCCCCTCACCTCCTTTGCCCCCCCTCCTCTGGGCTCCTGACTCTTTCTGCAGCCTTTCTACTGCTACTCCTTGGCTCCTCCTTACTGCTGTCTTTCTGCCACACCCCTGATCTTCTTGTAGGAAAGATCTACACCTAGCCTTCTCGGACAAGGGCGAAAAATCTCGGAGGGCCCGTGTGCAAGTTGCGCACGTTAAAGATCCCTTGGTGGTCTAAAATCGAAAAGAGTAGGCTTCGGCCGCCACCCGGGCAAAATTCAAAATTTCCTACCAACTGAAAATATTAGGTGTGTCCCGCACGCTCATATGACCTGTGCAGTTGCGAGCGCCGTAAAACACTTTACAAAAACCAAAAACCTAAAGTGGAGTCTGTACTTTTATTGCCCTATTGGAATGGTTAGGAGACCATAAAGGTGAAATCCGAGAAGTAACTCATTTTGTCAGCACACGTCACATATTATACTCCTTCTTGAAAACCAATGTATGAAGTGGTTTTTTTCTTTTTTCTGTTTTTTTAACTGACTGAGACGTAAGATAATATGTCATTTATGTATGGGTTCAGTAATATTCAAGAGCTTTGTATTAAATGTCAGCTCGAAAACATCGCTGCAGCATGAATTTTCAAACTGTCAATAATTTATGCTTGTCAGGTTAACGCTTTACTTTTAAAAAAATTTCAGACAGTCGAAATTCCTTCCCTGGGAACATCCAAAAAAGTCAAATCCATGCAAATGTTCCGAAAACCAGTGGAAAAAATCAAACAGGTAAGTATAAAACAATGATATTTTGTCACTTACGTTCATATTGAAAATGCACTTGTTTAGAAAATGAGAAATATAATCTGATTGAAATGCTGATAGGCTAAAAAGTATTTTCAATTCAAGAGGAAAATGAACATTTTCAATGCTTGTGTCTTTGATCGATGTTTCTGTACAAAGTGATGGTTGTGACAGTAAGGATTACTATAGGAGCTGTGCACTGCATACTTTCTTTGTATTACTGTGCAGCGCATTGAGCACTTCTTTGTGGAAATGGGCTACATAAATGCAATTTATTATTATTATTATAAGGAAGGACGCACACAAGACTGATGGTTTGCTGGATGTTGAATGTAGCTCTTTTCTTTTAACCCTTACAGTACCGAAGGTTCATATTATATAGTGAAAAACCCTCAAGTACCACACCAGTTAAGAACGCTGAGGCCGTGGTAGAATTTTTTTTTTATTTAAAGAAAAAACTTTCGCAGCCCAAGAAACAAAAGGCGTTACATCAAGTTTATTATGCTGTATGAAAGTTCATAGTTTGTCTAGAGTGTTCAGTTTGGTGTGTTAAATACCAGAATCTTTTCTTTTGTCTTGCAGATGTTTGGAGGGTGCCACAGACAGGTTTTTTTCTTCTTTACTTTCTCTCTTTTCTTTTCATATGTCATCTTGCTTTATCCTTGACTCCAGATGACGGTCAATGTGTTGATGTGCAACTCTTTTTTAAGACACAAAAAAAGCACCCAAAAAAAACGATGCAATGGTCTCTCCTTTGGTTTGTTCCTTCCTGCAGGGCGACCGGGCTGGGATTTGTGTGACGCAGTTTGACCCGAGTCAGCTAGAGCGAGGCCTAGTGTGCTCTGCAGGTACTTGTTCAACGAATACACAAGGCAATGGGAAAAACGAGCAGGGTCACAAAATGGAAATGAAAAGGCATTCAATTTTAAAAACTTGTTGATTCATATTTTAATTTTTGTTCCATGTTTTTTTTTTGCTGTTGTTTTTTTGTTTGTTTTGGGGTGGGTTTTTTGTTGTTAGTTGAATGGGAAATTGAACAAAAACACACATAAAAAACAACAGTTGAATAGAATTGAAGTTGCCAGTGTACAAGCCTTTCAAAACTGATGTTCTCGTGATATCGTAGTTGTGACCTTGCTTGTTTTTCCCAAGCACTCCTTGTGAGTGGCAACACGACAAAATAAATCACTTTTCACACTCGGCTGTTTCGAGATATTGGGCAAAACCTCGGTTTTCTCCCAACTGTGTTGTTTCGTACTCCTCATCTTCAAAGTGATGATAACTGGAACTTAAGCAGCTTGGCTTGTAGGGTTTGAACAGAGCTTCCATAGATATCTATATATATGAGGCATCATGATGAAACTAGGCGCTCGTTAAAATAATGAAATCTAAGAAACAGGCATTTTTCTCCAGTTTGGCAATTTTTGTCGGATTTATTATTTTTTTTGGCTTTACACCTTTTATGTCCATATAAAAATACATTTCCATGTGCATTTTACTGAAAAGCGTTGATTAATGATGGCACAAAATATTTAAATTTTCAGTTTTCCAGGACTTTCAAGCTATAGAAAATACCAAACTTTGGTGGCCATTTTCTCGCAAATTTTACCGTAGAAAACGAGCTTCCCCTACTTCCTTCAATCACAAATATCTTGACTTCTATTAAAGATAGATGGGTATTTTTTTTCACCGAAAGAAAGACGAGTAAACAAGCTCTAAGGTTACACCAATAACCCCATATGCCCAAAAATTGACAACCGGCTGATTCCTCCATGTCGTGGCACTTACATATATATATTATTATGTGGTTAGTTGGTGTGGTTTGCTCTTTCGGTCCTACCAAACATCTATCATCCTTATCTCTCCTCCTTTTTTTTGTGGTTGTTACTTGCTTGTAACACCTCGCACTTATATGACCTTATTGTGTTGCAAGTGCCGTTAAACTCCTACTAAAACTAAAACTTCTCCATGTGTCTTGTTTTGTTTCTTTTTCCACTCCATTATTAACGAAACTGTCATCTATGTTGTACTGATCAGGCTCTTTTCATTTGCAGGCAAAACATGTGAGTTTGAATCGCACATGGGGAGATTTATTTAGATTGAAAACTGCCCCCCCCCCCCCAAAGCATGGTAGAAGCAGCCTAACTCTTAAAATGATCTAAATTGTGTGGATGGGGGCTGGTGTTGAATGTTTCAGTTATTTGCCGTCTGATCAGAAAAGTTGATTTGGCAACGGCTCGGGCACATCACTTTATGACAACTTCGACGTCATATTGGTTTGCAGCAATTTCTGAAAACAGGTCTCTTTTACCGGCTTTTTTCTTATTAAACAAGGAACTATCAAAATGGGTTAATTTGTTTTGATTTAATTACCGATTCGGTGGCATAATATATGTCACTTTTAGATTTCGTACCAAAAGAGGGCTCCCAGCATATTGAGAATTCCCCTAATGGACTCTTCTCTGTCCCTATTATTTCTGCAGGTGCACTGGTCACGGTGGAAGCAGCGATTGTCTCCATGCACAAGATCGCCTACTACAAGAGTTCGGTCAGCAACAAAGCCAAGTTTCACATCACTATCGGCCACGAAACCGTGATGGGCAAGATTTCTCTCTTCTGCGCCCCGGCAGAAAGTAAAGAGGGGCAAACCGAAACGCCTGAGAAAAAGGATTCACAGTCGGGAGCGACAAGCGCCCCCGTTTTTGACTTCTCAAAGGAATACGATTACTTGGAGGAACTGCTTCTGCCGGGTAAGCAGGGCACGGCGGATTTGAACCAGGGAACAGCCAAGACGGTGGGCGAGCAGTTTGCTTTGATAGAGTTGGAGAGACCCGTCACTTGCTCCCCTCGCTCGCTGGTGATTGGCTCACGACTGGATGCCGACATCCACACCAGCGCCTGCCGCATCGCCTTCCACGGACAGATTCTGGTGGCCTTGACGGATAACAAGTACAAGGAAACCATCCTGCCCAATGTGAAGGTGTTTAAGGTAAAAAAAACAAAAAACTATTTCTCTGTCCTCAGAGAAAGTTGCATTTGAAAATAGCAAAAGTTGCAAGAAAAGTTGCAGCACGTGTATAGCTAAAAATGTCATGGAATTATTGGAATACATTGTTGATATGCTCATTGCATTCAAAGTAACCAACGTGACTTTTGTTAGATCAAAATCAAAAGTTAAATGAGAATGTCTACCGTACCCAAAAAAAATATAATTAAATAAATAACCCAACTGCATGGAGGTTGCATGGTGTACAAAAACAGTTTGTCCCCCGACACGTGCGTCAGGTCCTCAAACTTAAACTCCCGCTGATGTTGGGCAGGTGTGACCAGCGTGGTTTTGGGGCTGTTTAAATATAATCTTACACCTTTTGGGGGATTTTTGTTT